TATCTATCTATCTATCTATCTATCTATCTATCTATCTATCTATCTATCTATCTATCTATCTATCTATCTATCTATCCAGCCGTCCAGCCGTCCAGCCGTCCAGCCGTCCAGCCATCCAGCCATCCATCTATAATCTCCAATCACCAGAGTTAGCATCCAGTCCTTCTTAACCTCCGAGGAAGGAGGCCAGGAAAAAAATAAATAGCATTGGAAAGGGATGTGAACAGTATAACCTGCATTCTGTTTCCATAGAGACTTGTACACCAGCCGTGCCGCTCTGACTGACACGTCGCACCTTTTGAATGGAAAAACCCCTGGTGTCATAGAAACCAAAAAAAGAACCCACTTAACCCCAGGGCGTGGAGGGGTTGGCCCGATTTAGACGGCGCCTTCCGATGAGTTCCCGGGTTCCCTCTTTGTTTGCACCAACTGGAAGAATAGGACAGTGAGAGCCGATGTTTCTCCCTCCATCTCTTCAGAAAGGTACAAAGCAGGACAGTGTCCAAAGGAGGCTGGGCTGATGGGGGAGAGTGGGTGGCTGGTGGGGGAGGGGAGGAGGCTCTGGTGGCCGATGGCCTGTCATTTCCAGATGTGGGCGTGGGCCAGAAGGTGGAGGTGATGCAGGGGTCCAAGGGTAGAAAAAGAGGGGCGTTGAGAATCCAACATCGGAGCATTTGGGTGGTGGCCGTAAACCATCGGTGTCTGGCTCGGTTTGCTGATGGACAGCCTCTTGGCATTCCAGAGGAGGCAGAGAGAGAGAGAGATTCTATGATGCTGCTCAGCGACAGCTCATCTTACCTAGTGACTCACGCAGGGGAGTGTGAATCTCCCACGTGGTGGGCGTATGTGGGCACAGAGGTGGTTATGCTTGGTCAAAAAAACCCTAGAGGGGTGTGGGTGTTGTGTGTGTCAGTCCTCGGCTCTCCTCCTCACTCTTCTATTTAAGTGGGCAAGGCTTCAGGCACAATTTGTGACCCACCAAATTTAGCACACAAATTTTATTGCTCCCTGTCTCATGGTTTCTCTCCAGGTGTGTGTGTGGGGGGGAAGAATGAAGGGATGACATTTCAGGAGTGGTGATGATTAAAAACCATTGGAGAGGCGGCTTAGTGGCAGTGTGTGATGCAACATGTTTTCAAAGGGGGGTAGATTCATTGCCATCGATGGCTGCCAGCTTGGCTGGCTCTAAAAAAGGGGTTGGGTTGGGTTGGGTTGGAACATCAGCGGCTACCAGTTAGGATCACATAGATGTCATCTCCAGCATGAGAGGCAGTGTGCTTCTTTGTGTTGTTGGTGGGGGAAGTGAGACAGAGATCTGAGATGGAGGGTTCATGTCTGCTGATGGATTATCTCTGGCAGCCGGTTAGCCACAGTGTGTGTGAACAGCATGTTGCATTAGAAGCATAGAGCCATTGAGGCCGGAAGGAGACTATAAGGCCATCAAGGCCAAACCCCTGATCAGTGCTGGAATGCAAACAGATGGTTGTCCAATTTTCTCTTGAATGCCTTGCGCGTTGGACCGCTCACCACCTCCTGAGGTTATGGGTTCCACCGTCGTACTGCTCTAACAGTTAGGATGTTTTTCCTGATTTTCCGCCTCAGCATAGAGCCATTGAGGCCGGAAGGAGACTATAAGGCCATCAAGGCCAAACCCCTGATCAGTGCTGGAATGCAAACAGATGGTTGTCCAATTTTCTCTTGAATGCCTTGCGCGTTGGACCGCTCACCACCTCCTGAGGTTATGGGTTCCACCGTCGTACTGCTCTAACAGTTAGGATGTTTTTCCTGATTTTCAACCTCAACTTGGCTTCCTGTAGCTCGAGCCCATTATCGCATGTCCTGCACTTTGGGATGATCGAAAACAGATCCTGCCCCTCCTCTGTAGGACAGCCTTTGAAGTGTTTGAAAACCAAGATCGTATCTCCCCTCAGTCTTCTTTGCTCTGTTTTTCAGCATAAACTACCTCAAAATGTTGCTATGAGAGTAGAAGAGGTGAGGGGAGACCAAAATGTAATAGCTATTTCAAAGGTCTTTGAAGGCAAGCAAGGTGATCTTGAAAGCAAACAACAATATTCAGTCCAATATTGGCTGAAAGAGAAGCTTCCGTATAAGTGGAAGAGCCAAATTAAAGTGGCGCTGTCAGGAAGAAGGACCTCAAAAGGATTGAGTTCTTCCTTCAAAAGGCCAGACATGCTCTTTAGAAAGGGGACTTTATTCTGCCTACATATGTGCCTGATGGCAAAGTCATCAAGGACAGGCCCTACCATTAGGCAGATGGTAGCAGCCAACCCAGGCAGCAGATTTTAGATGTGATGAGAAAGCAGAAAATTGCTAGTCAATGTATACTTATTATATTTTTACTGCCACAGAGGGAAAGTCATTGATGGGGTTTCCTGCTTGATTTGGGAACAGGTGAGAAGTCTAAGAGAGAGAAAAACCACCTTTGGTTTGCCCCTGCCAATATACTGTATCATAAAATGTCAACAAGATTGCTAATAGACTCATCTAGTACTGGCTTAGGAATCAAAGATGGAAAATGTTTGTCTCTTGAACTACAGCTCACCTCCAATATGCCTCGTAAAAATTCTGGTTGTAGGATTCTGGGAAATGTAGTTTTAAATAATTCCCATTTCTATCGAGAACAGTGAAAGTTCTTGATAGAAATGGGAATTTGTTGGAAATTCGATAGAAATGGGAATTTGCTGCAGTTCGTTCACCAACCCAGCATTGTCTGGTCTGAGTGACGGCCACTTGGCAGAGGGAAGTTCTCTTTAGAGGGATGTGTTGGACATGGCCATTTGCTGTTGCCTGATTGAATTTCCTAGGCATGCCCCGCTTTGAACCTTCTCCAGGTGATGTGTGGGTCTTATCACTGACCAGTACAATGGCCGTAATACCTCACTGCTGCTCTTACTGGCTAGGGTTGACAAGAATTAGATCCAACAGGTCACAGAGGGCCAGGTCAATAAGATATGGACGGCTACGTGTTGCCCACCCGTGCATAGCCAACTAGACTCAAGCTAGTAAATTTGTGGCCTTGCTAATCCAAGCCAATGATAAAACGTATTCCTTGGCCAAGGGATGGTGAAGCAAATAAATGAGAGAGAAGACAGGGGTTATCTTAGGCAATTAGTATAATATTTTATTGTAGAAATCTACAAAAGCAAGAGGAGGTATTCTTTTCTTGCAAGGAACAATCTTTGCTACAATTGCTTAGCAACAGAAGAATGTTGTTATTCTAACAACCACACTGGCTGACACAGCCTCTTGTGATTCACCGCTAGTGTGAGGACAAGACAACAATACACCCCTGTACAATAAAAATGGGTTCCATGTATAAGAAGCCTTGAGCTCCGAAGCTGAGACATCAAGAGCCCACCCCTCTTCGTTAGAGCATGCAAAGAACAGAGGAAACCCAACAACAGTTAAAAATAGGCTCGGCCGTTAAAAATATGCTCAGCAGTCCAGTTATTGAAATATTAAAAAATAGATGACATTGTTTTATTGATATGTCACATGAAAACTTTTCATGGGGTTCTCCTTGGGAGAGTAACACTCCACCAGTGAGAACTGATGATACATACATGAGAGTGCTACAGATAGAACTCCCATTGGTTAGAAGCAATGGGCGTAAATCAACATCCAGCAATCCAGTTGGCCAGATTTCGGAACAAGTACAAAGTCACATCTTTGCAACAAATGTTTGCAATTGGTACAGACAGAATGGCCTTGGGTGGAAAATGCCACGGAGGGCTCTGAGTGAGTCCACCATTTTCTCCAAAGCATTTAAATAGTATCCATTGTGGCTCAGTCCCTGAAGCAGCTTCTTTTGATGGCTGAAGCCTTCTTCTTGTCTTGCCTTTGAGTTGGGAAAATGATGGCCTATACTAGCATTGGATGAGGAAAGGATACCATCTGGCCCGTTGATACCCTCAGTTACATATCATCATACCTACAGCGGAGCTGTAGGCCAAACAGTTCTGGAAGAACCAAAGAAAATCCCCAAACCACCTCCAACCCAACCTGTTTGACAGGTGGACTACGAAGGGAAACCTCTTTGAGCATCAACGCAGAACAAAAAAGTTCTGAGAAATGCCTAAAATGGTGTACATTTATGTCCCCTAGTTAGTTTGAGAAACACAACGAAAGCATCAGTTCAGCCAAAATAAATTCATTCTTTCTGGTGTGGTGGCCAAGGTGGAGAAATGGGGTGTGCGCCGTTCCTCACACAAGCTTATCCGTTGCCCTCAGACTATGGGCTTCGTCTCTGTTGTTCAGGCAAACATCTTGAATCCCAAGATGTTCTTCTGGATATTTAAGGGTTCACAAACCTCCAACGTCAACTGGACAAACCTCATGGGGTTCTCAAGGCAGTTTTGAGGGACCCTTTGGGTAAACTGAACAGGAAAGTGATTTTTAACATGGCCCCCTCCCCGAATTTTCAACAGCATCCCCCCCCATTCCAGTCCATTTCCTTTTCCTGCCAAAATGGTCAGCATGACCCACAGAAGCCTCCATTCCCCTGTAGTAGCTGTCACTCTGAAATGCTTCAGTTTTGGAAGTTCAGGTCATGGTGGTCCCCCTAATGTCATTTTCCTGCTGCTTGGTCTCCGTGGCCTTCTTTCCTGCACTTCTTCGCTACCTCCGGTGCTGAAACCACTGTCGTGCATGCTGCCACTCCTTGGTTTTCTTGTGGAGCTTGGTTTTCTGTGAAATGCACCTTCCAACCATTGGCTTCTTCCCCACATAAGTGAAGATGGTGATCATTCATGGAGCCGTCTCTTGAGCCACTGGTGGGAAAAGGCTCCCTATAATCAAAGAATGCAGAGGTTAGATGGTCAATTCAGGAAATCAGAAGAAGAGCTGATGTTACAGATTTCTTGGGAGAGTTAGGATGGGCAGCTTCGCAGAAGGACAGAACTTGTGTCCAAGATCTTTGTGGACTACAATACCCATGATATGTCACCACAGGTTATTCCAGCTAGGGCTAATGGGAACTGCAGTCTAGCAATTTCTGGAGGAACATAATTACCCTGGCAAGGTCTGTGGACCATGGGTGTGTGGTAGGAAGCGAGAAGGTCTGGAGATGCCTCCCCCTAACGCTGGTCTAGGGCTGACATGGGGCCAAAGTCCACTCTTTTGTGTTGCCTTAAAATCTCACTCCTGAGGGCATCCCTCGCAAGCTGAGGTTCCCAACCTTGGGTCCCCAGATATTCCTGGACTGCAACTCCCAGAAGTCTTCAGCCACTAGCTGTGCTGGCCAAGATTTCTGGGAACTGCAGTCCAAGGACACTTGGGTTAACAAAAGGTTGGCAACCACTTCTCCAAAGCTGTGCTTGGAAAGGGGGCTCTGAAAAATCTCCTTCCAATGGGAAGCTTTTCCATGGCTAGGGTGGGCATTCAGAACCGGCTATGGGCAGGGGGCATGGAACCCTCCCACCAAAGTGGAGAAGTCATTACCTTCAGCAAGCCGTGCCTCCACACAGGAGCTGCCAAAGCTTCGGCAGGCCAGCATCTCCCCAGCCCAGCTGCATGCTGGGATCCCCCGAGCTGCCTCCCTCCACTTTCGTCTCTGCTCCGCACGCCGTTCGGGAAGTGCTTAGCTCGCAGCTGCTCTTGAATGAGTCACTGTAAGAAGGGGGAGAGAAAGCAGATCATGCATGGTGAGCCGGTCCTGCTTCGGCAATACATAGTCTCTTGCTATTAGGCATTGTTCACTTCCTCTCCCACTGGGCCCAAGCAGCATTCTTTGTCTGAACAAGCCTCCTTTTGTCAACCCCATGCTACCGCTGAAAATACACTTATGCACGGCAGCCTGTGAGTCTCTTTCCCCTCTGACCCAGTTCCTATTCATCTGGTGTTTCGCTCTTGAAAGAATACGAGGAAAGAGCTATACAGGCTGGGAGAAACTCCCTCCTTGCTTCTTCTTCTTCTTCTGTTTTTAAAACATCCTGCAAACCTTTGCTGGTTGCTGGTTGGGAGATGCAACCAGACCAGAGTCGTTTGAGGAACCCGATCACTTTTAGGGCTAGGAGGGCAAAGGGTGGCCCTAATTACCTAGCTTCTTGATGAAGAACTAAAATAAAATATCAAATTATATTGATATTCCCTCCCAGGTCAGTGAAGGTGGCTTAGAGTAGACCATCTCTAGAGTTCCTCCTTGCTCTAATTTTCTGCGTGTCATCAGAAGGGAGCAGGCGCAGAACAGCTGGGTCTCGGACGCTCCACCTATATGCCACATCAATCCTCATTTTAACCATCTCTTCCTTTGGCTAGTAATGACAGGTGGCTCTTTCACCCTTCCCTAACTTCTGATTCCCCCTTCATCCCAGAAATAACACCATCTCTTGTTAATGACATCGCCCAGCCTACAAGAACGGAAAGTAGCTCTCTGGATTTAAGGACGGCATTTATCTATTAAAAAAATGGGAAAAAAGAGTTTCCCCCTTACCTGTAGCCTGTGAGATGGAGTCACAGCCCGGAGGCTCACAGAACAATTCCCGTGGGGTGCATTTTCATCGCTGATCTTGGCACAATGGAAGCAGAAGCAATCTTCAGGCAACGGCTCTTCATTCTCCTTCACCTTTTCGGTTGACACCTTCCATCATCCTGCTCTACCAGCTCCACAGCTCCAGAGGGCGTTGTCTGAACTTTTTGAAGTTCTGACTGTCGCTCCAGTCCACTTACTTTCCCTCTTTCCCCACAACTACTCCGGTTTCTCATAGTTGCTGGGGGTGTGTGTGTGATTTCTGTCTGGCCACTGGCCAAAGGTGCTGAAGCTGAGCTATCGTTTTGCTCTTCTTTGAAAAATCAAGCCAGCTTACGGGAGGACGTCCGTTTGCATTCCATCTGTCTCAGCTATCGAGACCGCGCAGCTGCGGTCCTCAAGCATTTGGTAGCTCATCCTATCACCGGCGCATTCAACTGGTGTTTTAAGCAGCGCAAATAAGAGGTTCGGGGGGTGTCGTTTTCTCTGTCTTCTTGGCTCAGAGATGAAAATGGCTTCATTGGCTGAATTCAGGTTGTGTCTGTGGACTAAATCAAGAATCTAGCCCTACCTGTGTGGGTTTCGAGCCCTACCACATCTTCAGTGTGGGGTCCCTTCTTTGATAGCCACTCTTTCTCAACCATGTGGTGGCAACAGCTTTAAGCTCCCAAATGAAGGAGGGAAGTAGAAGTCCTCTCCATGCTAGCTCCTTGCCTCCCATAAGTCCAAGACCGAGAGAAGTAAAGCACCTAAGGTTAGCTCTGGTCCACTGTTGAATGTGTGGTGACAGAAGACATAGCACTGGTGGACCTGAAGGACCTTAATCATCAAGCTAGGGCTGAAGAGAGTCCAAGGGGTTTATTTAAGCAGAAAAAGAAGAGCAGGGTGAAAGCAGGACTGGGGTTAAAACTCTTGGTAGGCTTCTCAAAGTCCTGCCAAAAATGGGTCAAAATGTTCCCGACCTGTCTGTTTGAAGCTCAGTCTAGAAGTTGGAGGAAGTGTGGGTCGAAGCAGAAACCGACAGCTTTCTAGAGAATTGGCGAGTCGAGGCTGAGGTATAAGCAATAGGTTCCAAGAAGCTAGAGAGAATGCCTGGAAGGAGAAGCACGTTGAAGGACAGGGCTGACCATAAAAGCAGGAAGGACCGTCTTCTCTATTGCCCCGTTTCACTCTCTCGGAAATGAATGCCGAAGGAGTATCTAGCGTGCATTGCCACAAGAGATAGGCTGGTTGCCTTTGTAACTGCTGCCAAGCCCTTGCAATGCTATTCTGCTGTTGTTGTTGTTGTTTGCAAAGAAATCCTCAGAATTGCCGCCAGTCCTACGGCTTGAACCACCACTCCCCCCGGTGATTCAGGCGGGCCATGTTCTTCACATGGTCTGCCTCCCCGAAAGGGAAGGAAGGAAAAAAATAAAGCAATTCTCCTCTTCTCGGCCATTGGGTTGAGAGTCTCCTCAGACCCTTCCCGGCTGCCAGGTTTCCGCCCAAAGGAAACCCTCTTCCTCAAGTAGCCAACCAACTCTCCTCTGGATCAGACAGCTCCCCTCCGAGGTCATATCACTGTGGTCGGAGGGAGAGAAATCTCTGGCTGTGTCTTGTCGCTCCCGGCAGGGCTGGCGGTGGTAGAAGGAGGCAGGCTTTCCACAGAGTCGCCGAGCTGATGCTCAGGGGTCCTCTGAGGACTGGGCTCCTCGGAATTATCCAAGTTGCCCTCCACTTCCTTGCCCCTCTGGATCAGCTGCTCTAGGGTTTTGGGGTAAGGGTGGCTAAGGAAGCGCTTGAGTTTGGGCTGGAGGGTCCCTACCACGTACTGGATGACCTCCTCTTCCTCAGCCTCGACATAGAGGGTTTGATAAAGGTCCCTCTTACGCCAGAGGAACTGATCTAGAGGCTCTCCCTCCTTCTGGGGGAGATCCAGTTCCTGCTTGATAGCGTCCCTTGTCAGGGTGCCCTCGCTGTACTGGAGGAACTCCTTCTTGAACTCCAGCCAGTTCTTGACCGAGTCCTGCTTGTACTCCCACCACTTCTTGGCAGGGCCGTTCATGTGGTTCTGGATCTGGGAGAGCCAGTACTCTTCCGTCCCGCCCACTTGCTTCAAATAGTCCTCCAGGTGAGTCAGGAACTCCCTGGGGTCCTCAAAGATCTGGGTCTCCACCGGGGAAGGGGGTGCCTCTTCTGGATCCGTGACCCACTGGTAAGAATCATGGGGCTGAGGGATAACAGGAACATCTCCCATAGGAGGTGGAGTCAGGGCATACATCTGACTCATGTCTAGGGCGTAGTCGTAAATCTCCCCTTCACTGGGCCTGACCTCTGGGCCCCCTACCCCCACAGAGACCGTTTGCCTGCCTTGGTCTGCATGGCAATACTTTCCTCCTCCAGATTCCAGGCGGTCAGCCCATCTCTCCAAGCGGAAAAAGACCTCCTTCCAGACATTCATCTCTCTCTTGACCCACCTCTCCAAGTTGGCAATGGTCTCCTGACACCGGGCCAGGCAGGCCTTGATGGACTTCTTCCACCTCTGGTTCTCAGCCGCCGAGGGGACGTGGTCCTCGAGGTTGTTCTCGAGTTTCCCCACCGACTTCTGCAGGCCTTTCAGCTCTCGCTCCACCTGCTTGGACACCTCGGTCAGGAGGTGCCGGTGGGTCCTCCTCACGTGCTCCAACATCTCAGCCCTGCACTTCCCTATCTGGAGGATGACATTGGGCTTGTTATTGTGGACCACCCCGCGGTGGCCCTGGAAAGCGTGGAGGCTCCCTTGGTTGATGTTCTCCAGCTGCATGGCTCCTAAAGATGAAAGTCAGAATCACCTGCACCTTCTGCCCTCTCTAAGCAATCCTTCTGCAACCACCCCGTCCGAAAGCGGACTCCCTGTCTCCCGGCAAAAGCACAAGCACAGCCGAATCAGAAGTCACCCCCTCCAGCAGTGGAGCAGTCCGAGGCCACGCTGCGCTCCCACCAAAGTCCAGGGCAAAAAAAAGAAAAAGTTCTTTTCAGCTTTCGGTCCTTCTTCTGCCAAGGGCCCAGAAGTCCCGAGATCAGCCAACGAGTTCCTGCTCAGCCAGTTGAGATCCTTCCTTGCTAGGATCCGAGTCGCTGCTGCTCCGGTCTCGCCTGCTTTTTTGCGGGGAGATCTTTGGAGAACTTCGCACGAGCAAGGAACCGAAGCGCTTTCTCGCTCGCTCGCTCGCTCTCTGTATAAGTCTGTCTCTCTCGAGCTCTGCCGCTTCTCGCTGCGCTCTGCCGGTGGCACCGACGGAGACCCCTACTTATACTCCACGGAGCATCCTCTGTGGGCGTAGCCAATCCTCTTGGCTCCTCGGCGCGCCGCCGCTGATTGGCGGAGCGGGATGCAGGAGAACACCGCTCCCGGCAAGTCCGCCTCGCCATCCCTCCCTCCCACTCGCCCGCTTCTCCCACCCTCCCCTCCCGCACACCCGCAGACTCGAAGCGATTCCACCTCCAGCCATTCCTCGCATCTATGAGTTATATATAGCTGTAGTTTAACTCACACCGATTGTGAATAAAAGTGGCAGCAGTCTAGATGGGGAGAGGGAGGTAGATCTAAATTCTCCCCATCCGACCCCTGGCCATAAGCTACTGCTTTCTTTGTACCCTATTCCACCTTGGCCCCTCCGCACACACACACACACACATACATACACCTTTATCTCCCTGCACCTCTGATCTAAAGAGGGAAAGGGGCTGGAAGGAGGTGCGTCCCAATGCCACGGGTTGCGCTCCCGAGCGCTCCGAGGCACGTGTGTTTGGTGCCTTCACACCGCGAAAGGGGCACCCCCGTGTCGGGCTGCGCAACCTGGGTTGTCACCGTCAAG